TTGAGTCCTCATCTATCGAGGATAACCCTTTTATCTTTATTTCAGTTATTTAGTTTCTTTCAATTTTCACACAATTAGAGTTAGTTGGGGATTTGCCCTAGTAACTCATTTTAGTAGAGACTTTACAGACAGTTAGACATAATTTCAGCTTATTGAGTATTCATATATTATTCTATCTAATGGTTGTGTTTTAATAGACTATTTCATATTTAGCTTTCACAACAGTTTTTCAGTTTTCCATGTATGTATATTTAGTGTCATGCCCGACGGTGGTTTAATTTAGTATTATTTATGGCTCTAAACACCGTGTTACGATTAAAAGATGGTCTTGAATTGTGACATGTTGTCTCCTTCTCCCATACTTCTTTTTTTTTTTTTTGTGTGGAGAATCTGAATGATCCATCTGCACCTCGTGTCAATTTCTCATGAGTTACTGTTGCTCATGTGTGATGATTGATTTCAGTTGTTGGTATCTTTTTCGTCCTAATTTTATTTTCGCATTGTAAAAAGGTTTTATCCCATTAAATTTCAAACAACGGCTAAACTTTAAATACCTGCTCAAAAATTGACCATTTTGTGCCATTTTACAAGAAGAAATAGTCCTTAATAGTTTTAATTTTACTTTTACTTGTCATTCTTACTAGAAATATATAATTCTTTATAGTTGTAATTTTAGAAATTTTTTTATCCTAAAGTGAATAAATATTCCAAAATAATTAAGTGAATAATATCCATGACACATTCTTTCCATTTTGCTCTAAGTAATAACTATTATTGAAAGTAATAAACATAATTAACTAATTTAACATAGATAGCCTAAGTGAAGATACTACACATACTCTAATATTGTGGTTGCATAGATTAAGTCACGTCCATTAATTGCTTGAAATTTTAACGATACTCCCACATTGAAGAAAGTTTACATAATTAAAAATAATAAATAAGGTATAATAGTCTAACCGCATAATTTTCTAAGGAGGCTTGTAAATAAAAAATGTGACAAAAAAATTTATCCAAATGAAGTACTACTCCCTCCATCCTAATTTATGTGAAACATTTCAGGTTTCAAGATTTAAACAAGTCTATCTTTGAATGTAAATTTTTCATATATGTTTTAAATATTTTGGAATGTCAATTATTATGACTTATAATACTTTTTACTTGGTTTACAAAACTCTCGGTCAAACTTAAACAGTTTGACTCTTAAAAAATAAAATGTGTTACATAAATTGAAACAACGGGAGTATTATTTAAGCATAAGAGCCTAAAAATCCATGAATTAGCCCAGAGTTAGCACAACAAATTAACAAATGTGTACCATCACTATCGTTATGACGATGCCAATATGCTCCATTCTTGGTTTGTTTTGTAAAAGAAACGATCTATTTCATTGGGTCTTTCACAAGACAAAAGGTAAATGACAAGTCTTTATATATTGGGACTAATGTTTGTGACAAATTATTGTCCTTTTGCTATAAGGAAGGATGCTTCTAGGAATGACTTTGTCAGACTTTCACCTTTTTACCTTTAAACAAAAAACAATTCTGATTTGATGGTGACCCTTACAAAGTACATGCCTCTCTTTCTTCATATATATATATATATATATACCTTTTGAATACGGTCTCTTTTTTCATATATATATATATACCTTTTGAATACATAATATATATATATACCTTTTGAATATACAATATACATGGAGGAATCTACTTCTGCATATACTTTTTTCTTACAAACAAATATCGAGTCTTCATGTGATTTGTTATTGACTTTTGAGTTTACTAAAGTTATTGATGTGTGAGGTACTGCTACTTCAATAACTAAGTATATCTCAACTATTCATTTCAGATTGTTAGCTATAACTAATGATATTTTCCCTCGGTTTTCTACATCAAATCTACTTTTACATATATTTTTTCTTACAAACAAATATTAAGTCTTTGTGTGATTTGTTGTGGACTTTTGAGTTCACTGAAGTTATTGAAGTTTGAGGTACCACTATTTCAATAATAGGTATATATGTTTTTATCCTGGGAGGAAATAATCCATAACCTCGTGTAAAATGAGGTGATTAAATTCTTTAAGGACACACAATAAATTTTATTGTCTCGGATATTCTTCTTTTCGTCTTACAGAATTTCTAATTTTCTAATTGGTTAACTTAAGCTACGTACATATATAACTAGTCCAAATCATTTCCTCATGAAAAGATAAAAAGGAATAGCATGATTTTAGGATGAAAATTCAGTTTATGGCACGATAGTCAACTCAATCCTATAGGTTCGAAAATTAAAAAGAAAAGTAAACAGAAACAGATTAATAATGAATTTAAGTATATAGTAAGTGATGAGGTTGAAAGTGAATTATTGAGAAGTGGACAAGAGAATAATTAAGGTATATCTTGTACGAATGAAGATTGGAGTGATGGCCACATTTGCATGTGAAGATTGCTGGAGAATGGTGTGACACAAGATATCTTAATTAAATCAATGGAATTATATCTGATAGTCATGCCAATTGCCAGCTCCTGCCTTGCCTAATATGAAAATGGAGATTATTTTTAGTAGTGATAATATAAACAACCCTGTCTAGGATAGTCTTTTCTATTCCCTCTGTCTCAATTTATGTGACTTGCTTTCCTTTTTAGTCAGTCCAAAAAAGAATGACAGATTTCTATATTAAGTACTAATTTAACTATAAAATGTTTATTTTACTTTTAATGAAATGATTTACAGTCACACAAATTTATATAATTCATTTTGGACCACAAATTTTAAAAGTCTTCATTTTTTTTCTTAAACTCCGTGCCAAGTCAAACTACCTCGCATAAAATGAGACGGAAGGAGTATAATTTATCATCAAGAATGGTGTCCGTTAGGCGTGTTTTGTTGAGTCCTATATTGGTGAGATGAGGAAAATCTGGATTTTTTATATGATTTTGGACAATTCTCATATCTTGAGCTAATTTTTGGAATTGAATTTGACCCAATGTCATGTCCTTGGTCTTCTACTGACAACTTGCTCACGATTGTATTGTAGAGAACTTTGAATTTTGCTTGATGAATTTACAAATGAATATATGAATAATAATTGTCAAACAAGGTTCTACATATTTACAAATAAGCCATTTTTCTAGAATACTCTACACAATTAGAATATTTCAAGGACCTTTCATGAAAATCCATGAAATTCTAAGTTTTTTCAAAGGAATTCTCCATATATCTCTAGAACCTTTCACTATAAGCTAGCTTTCTTGCTACATAAGCCCTCCACATGACCAACTTTGTGCCATGTAACACTTATATGGCATAATGATGTGACGGGTCGTCACTCCAAGATCCATAACATGTTTCGCATAGATAATTGAACATTTGAAAGTACCTTTGCCAAAGTCGATAAAGCTGTTCAAAATACTTGAATGTGAAATCAAATGTTAAATATTTCAAATGCTTCTAATCTGTTTGGTCCTATTTATCAGAAACATCTTCCTTCTCAAGTTCAAAATAGAAATCTCTTATTAGGGGTGAAAAGATCTCATTCCATTTGGTCGTATCATTCTTAAAATTAATAGACTCGTTATACTTTTTGATGGCCAATTGGTATATACTAATAGGCTCATCATAGTTTCCTGATAATCGTTGTGTTTGGGCTAACTTATGCACCCTGACTAATTTTACGAGATACTTGTTAGGGTTTTGTCCTGATTTTCTTACCTTATTTGAAGTTTATTTTTTCCTAAAATAAAAGACAAAACATTACCATAAATGTTTTTACTTTTTCGGAAAGGAAATATAATATTCTTCCATAATTGATTTATTCTTTCCTTAGAGGAAAAATTTGGAAATCTATAAATTGAAGATCTCTATTCTCATAGCATAACACAATAACATCCACAATGTAAACAATTAAGAGTTTTGTTTATGGAGAGATTTTCTCTCTACAATTTTAATGCCGTTTTTATTAGTTTTTAATTATGTAGGTCAATTGGTCCTATCATATAATAATATTATATTTTTTAGTATAATTTATTGTCATCTAATTTATCAACCATATTATTTGCAATTGTAAGCTTCCGCATGACGCCAAATCATCCTTCATAACCCAACAAGTGGTATCAGAGTACATGATTCAATGATCCAATGGTTCAATAACCCAGGTTCATCGAGGTTGAAGACAGGTTCAAGGCGGTTTCAAATTAATTTGCAACCAATTTGATGATAAAGAAGATTTTTGTCTAGCTACATGTGGAGAAAAGTTTTAAACCATATTTTCAACATTTCTCTTGCTGCAATTTTAAAAATAAAACAAAATATTTTTAACCCATATATTTTAAACTTTATTTTTAACCATGACAAGCAGCATTGATGAAGACTATGTGAAAAACAAAGATTATCATGCAATTGAAGAAGGTGGATCAAGTTTTGTCAAGAAAATTCAGCCAAAAGGGGAGATTTGTTAGGGTTTTGTCCTGATTTTCTTACCTTATTTGAAGTTTAGTTTTTGCTAAAAGAAAAGACAAACATTACCATAAATGTTTTTACTTTTCCGGAAAGGAAATATAATATTCTTACATAATTGGTTTATTCTTTTCTTAGAGGAAAAATTTGGAGATCTATAAATTGAAGATCTCTATTCTCATAGCATAACACAATAGCATCCACAATGTAGACAATTAAGAGTTTTGTTTATGTAGAGATTTTCTCTCTACAGTTTTAATGTCTTTTTTATTAGTTTTTAATTATGTAGGCCAATTGGTCCTATCATATAATAATATTATGTTTTTTAGTATAATTTTATTTGTCATCTAATTTATCAACTATATTATTTGTAATTGTAAGCTTCCGCATGACGCCAAATCACCCTTCAGAACCCAACAACACTTGTCATCACCTACCACGAACAACATATACAAAGTAACTTTGTCCTTGCTCAGAGCATAAAAAGGAAAGGTGACTTGACTTCATACTTGGCATAGTTCAAAATCATCCAAAGATAAATTAAGAACAGTAACAGGTAGTAGAAGTAACATGTGAACTCTTTTCTGAGCCTAATTCTTCCTTCTTCCTTATTTTCACTTCATTAAGAACACGTCTAGCCCATTCAGAAAAATAGGTCTTATTGTATCCAATTTTGCCATTTTTATAAATGGACATGCAACGTTTATCATCGTCCGAGTAAGGGCAAGAATCGCCATCAGGATCACGCCATGCTCCTTGGTGTTTCATCCCTGACCAACTAGCTATCCAGTGATACACATATTGGCCTACACCTGCTATTTTAAGCCATCCTTTGGGGAAAAACTCTAACACACTGCTGTTTTTGTCCATGAGGAGCATGTTTGTTAATTGTGCACCGTGTGGAGATATTAGTATGTCTGTCAAACTCATCACCCTCACCTGTAAACATTAAATCAATCATCATCGAAATAATACACATGAGTTAACAATTTTGATAAGAACAAGACATTATTAAAAAATATACGAAAGTGATCGACACATTATTATCTAGAAGTATTTGAACCAAAGATTTGAATGATCACCTTAATCATTACTATAGAAGCTTTCTTTTCTCACAGAATTCACTCAATAACTCATAAAATTCACAAGGTAATTCTCGGAAGCCCAATCATATATCGTGTGTATCAGTGTATCTCACAAACAGATTTTTATGGATATACATGATATACAGGAGATGCAACCAATACACAGGATAAATTATACTGATATACATGGTCATTTACCCAAATATACATGCGATACACATGAATGGAGTCGTCTTCAAGCTTGATATTTAGTTTTAAAACTCAGCTCGAATCCACCTCAAATTATCTCAAAACATCTTCCAAATTGATATTCAATCTTGTTAAGATGTTTTCAACAAAGTCCAGTATCACCAAATCAAAATAAATCACAATAACAAAGATTTATTATTGATATCCATTGTGAAATTACCATTAACCTATAACAACAAAACACCTAATTAAAGAGCATCTAACCTCTCTACCATCTTCTAGGAATTAAGTCAGGTCTCCAACAAAAAAATAAAGGTAGTAATTACATAATCAAATGACTAATCAATGAACTACACCTATAGGCTCTCTTTGATAGTTTGAGTTACTCTAATCTATCTACCATTTCCTTCCTAATCATTGTCACTTTTGTGTCTATATGTAAATGTGAGCTCCTAAACACTTTTCAATTCCTTGCCTTCCAAGTAAGTTAATTATTGTAGTAGTTCTTTCTTGGTTTTGTCATCCTCCCCTGCTACAAATATATTGGACTTAACCATATTAACAACCAATCCAGTGACCCAACTAACATTTCATATGTTTTCCTCAAATCTATCTTCGTCAAACACCTAGGTGAAGTTTTTCTACCATAATGCCTCCATAAGATATGACAAATAAGTACATTATGGATCATGGACCTCCTTTGAGCAAAGGAAGCTTGGTTATCAGCCACTATGTTCTTCACTGCATCTTTCAATTTGGAACATATCATTTTAGAGATACATTTAACATTGGCTAGCCTGTTCAGGATTACTTACTTTCGATATCAAGGCTATATTTTAACATTGAGTTGAGCCAACAGATTTTCATTTTTGAAAAATTCCAAGACAGCCTTAGTGACATCAACTTTGTAAAATCTACTGTCAAATTCATTAGGTCTTGGACTTCTATTGCTATATATGTCAAATATAGATATTTTAAAATCCTTTCTGGTTATGGTCTTCAAGAGATTCAATTACTGTGAGCTAGATCAAACGGGTCTATTTATTATGTACTATCATTTTGTTGTGTTTACTAGTAAGGGTAAAGTAGAAAAGAATACGTAATTAATCTTGTCTTGAATTTCTAAAACGATAAATAATTTAAGCTACTTTTAGAAATGAGAGAGGGAGTATTACCTGTTCACAGAAAGTGAGATTATTGGAGTAAGCAAGTATGAAGTGGCAGCCTTCCATCTTTTTACATTCCTTGTAAAAAATTCCAATGACAGCAGAATCATTCTTGAAAGATCTTGGTCCATTGTTAACTCTCATGAACATTGTCATTCCGATCACTGGCGTTTTCCTTTCGCTTACATTACAATAAATTCTAGCCTTACACCTTAGCAAATCATATACTTGAATCCTTTTTTGTCTAGACATACCCCCTTCATTATGTCTCATCACCACAGCATCCTCAAAACAAGTAGCATTATTACTAATATTTTCAATTTGAAGTGGTTCACCAAAAGTAGCTTCCATTAAAGATTTCAACCAAGATCCCATTTTAATCCTAACTTCACCCCAATGGTACAAAATCCATCTAGTGGGAGTACGCGAACATTGGCTGTTCTTGATATGCCATGCTACAAATGGTACCATAGATGACAAGCCATGCCAAATGTTATCATAATTATAGTGATTGTATGACACAAATGTGAGACCTTTCTTTAAAGTAGAGTTGTAAGGCAAATATTCAGGCCATGCTAGTGCATATGAATTCCATGCGCCATCATGAGTGTTATTACCTTTAAGGCACAAAACTTTACCTTTTGATGCATTTGAAGGGAATCTTTGGTATTGGACTTCACCTTCTTCATGTGTGTCATACATTGAACTCATGAACCATGTGTGTCCTTGTTGAGCTGTCGATGAGTAACGTAAGTCTTTCAAAGGAAGAAATATAACCGATTCACAAAGTAATTTCTTGGTCACCATTAATTCTTTGGTGAGATTATTGAAAGTTGTGTTGATGATAACTTTTTGCCTTTGATTGAAGAAAGCCCATGATGGTAATGGAGATGAGGAAGGTGGGGTTTGAAGAAATTTGATTTGGAAAAGAATGAATAGAATGGGACAAGTGATGATGAGGATGAGATAGATGGAGAATGAATAACTTGTCTTAGGATGTTGTTTAGCATGGTATGGCTTATTCATTGCCATTTTGGCTTAGTTAAACCTAGGAAAGGACTTAGATTTGAGATGGAGATATATAATGATATTGGACTCACCTTAGTAAAGACATAAAATATAAAACTATATGTATGATATTCCATGCAAACTTAGAAACGTGACTAGTGTGAGGAACCACAAGCTTTTTGGATGACAAAGGAAACAAGGAAATAAAATAAGACAAGCTAGCCACTACTAGAGTTCACCAAAGTTTAACCATTAATTTGTGAATTTAACTAAACTATCTATATCTAGATCTATATTATATAAAAAACATGAAGGTCCTTAGCCAATGTAGGTATTTAAGGCTCAACTATCAGACCAAAACCGACTCCTTAGTCCTATATGGACATTAGCTTACTGGTACAACATTAGCTCAGATCAACCTTTATATCCTGGCAAGGTATATTGAGCCCTTTTGATGGGGATTATACATCAAACTCCATGTTGTAGCTCACATGGTTATATGTCAATTTATATTGATTGAACTTTTTGTTCTTCATTAAAAGATTCTACAATAGACTAAATTGTTATTATACTAATATTTAGGACTTTAAATTAATCGAAGTTATAACTATTAAATCTTTACTTATTTGTAAGAGGTAAGAGTGCTTTAAAACTGACTAAAATTTTGCTTCTTAAATCTTTTCTTATTTGAAAGAGGTAAGAGTGCTTTAAAACTGACTAAAATTTTGCTTCTTAAATCTTTTCTTATTTGAAAGAGGTAAGAGTGCTTTAAAACTGACTAAAATTTTGCTTCTTAAATCTTTTCTTATTTGAAAGAGGTAAGAGTGCTTTAAAACTGACTAAAATTTTGCTTCTTAAATCTTTTCTTATTTGAAAGAGGTAAGAGTGCTTTAAAACTGACTAAAATTTTGCTTCTTAAATCTTTTCTTATTTGAAAGAGGTAAGAGTGCTTTAAAACTGACTAAAATTTTGCTTCTTAAATCTTTTCTTATTTGAAAGAGGTAAGAGTGCTTTAAAACTGACTAAAATTTTGCTTCTTAAATCTTTTCTTATTTGAAGCAAATCCAAAGTTTTGGGGAAAATGTATTCGATTGAAAGCATCTTGCTAGGAAGAACTAAGAAATATCCAAATATCACAATGTTGAAGCTAACTTCTAATTCTATCTTTTCTGATTGCAGGTACCTCCTGAACTCAATGCATAAACCAGTAGAAGAATATTTGTATAGAGTGCAAAATGCGGCAGCAGATCAGCTTGCTAGTTTTGGCTTAACTATGGACAACAACGAGATACAAATCTAGCGTAGCAGATACCAAAAATGATTTCTAGCAGTAATTAATCAACGCTAATAGCTTAATTGCTGCTAAATGTACTTTTTAGAGGCGATTAGTAAATGTCCCTAAAGTTTATTTCGACATTGGATCCAACAAAAATTAACTACTGCTGATAAAAACTTTAACTCTCTTTGTTAATGTGCATATTTATTGCCGCTAAAAGCTATTTTTATTGTAATGATAACAAACTACTTGCATCAAGTTTTTGTAATAATCGCTTTTATAATCCTAGTATGAGTCGGGATCCATGTAGCTCGAACTCTAGGATACACCCTTCACCAGTAGCCCCCTTAATTATGTCTCACCACCACAACATCATCAAAACAAGCAGCATTTTACTAATATTTTCAATATGAAGTGGTTCACCAAAAGTAGCTTCCATTAAAGATTTCAACCAAGGACCAATTTTAATCCTAACTTCACCCCAATGGTACAAAATCCATCTACTGGGAATAAGAGAATATTGGTTGACACTCTTACATATTCTCTTGTCCGGGTAGAAATATTGAAAAAAAACTACACACCAACAGTTATTTCTATAGTTGGTTCCTAGAGTCATATTAGAACAAAAACTAAATAACATTAGTTTTTCGTGGAAAACTTCCTTGCTCAAGGGAATAAAAAACCATGACGTACAATGTGTAGAATTTCCAATAACCTCCACTAACTTCAAAGAGCCATTTCAACTTACAACTCAACAATCTAAGGGACTAACTCTAGTACCTCAACCCAACAATTAACTCTAACTGTTCTAACAACTCTCCAAGAAGATGATTTTTCTTCTTGTTACAAACCTCACTAACTACTCTACAAGAAGTCAAACTCGGTTCTTGTTACAAACTTCACTAACTACTCTTCAAGAAGTCAAACTCGCTTCTTGTTACAAATCTCACCCACACAACTACTCTCTTCAATCTAAAGTATTACAACTCAACAGAACCTAGAACAACTCAATAAAAACTAACAACTCTAACATTTTTCTAATCCAACTTCAATATTCAATAGTACAAACTTGAACACAACTCGTGAACCAGATTCATGTATTGCTATGATGAAGTCCAGCAGTTTTGCTCCAATGGTTATTGCTCTCAAGATGATAAATTTCCTGAATATGCAATATACACATCTCTCAATGGTCTTCATGCCATATATATACTGGAGATTTTTCATGCCTTAGTATATCACAAACTGAGACTTTTACTTCGACTAGGACTTGGCCTCCTATAAGAAAATTTATGATTTCTTCCTTGAAAGGAGTTTCATCCTATAAGGAAACTTTGACTCCTCTTTGGACTTTATTTGTACTCTTTATTTCTAGGGAAAAGAACACTTGTACCCAAAAAGGGAAACTATTTATAAGTGGCTACCCCTTACTTTCATACCCCTTGATTTAACTACTAATGCGCGTTTAGTACTTGATACCATCAACGTATATACATACTTCAATGATATCAAAGAGGAAGAAACAATGCTTTAGTAAAAACAATACTCAGTTACTCCTTGGTACAATTAGAATATATCTATATCTATATCTATCTATACTACCTTAAAAGCATGAACTCCCTAACTTGAATGTTAAATTACTATAATACCCCAACTTAAAATACTAAATTTAGTATATATTCTATATTTCATATTTTATTTATTTATTTATTCTATATTATATTAAAACCTGACACTCTTTCACATTGATGGGTAGTGACTTTTTCGAAAAGTTATGACATTTCTAACAACTTGTGATTTTTCTGAAAGTTCGGACTTATTTGATAAGGCACGATAAGTACCTTTCCATACTAACCTTTGTTATCTATAAATAGAGGGGTTTCCTCCCACTTTAAACTACAAATTTTGTAAGTTTTCTATTTTTCTTCTTAAAATAAGCAAGATTGTGAGAGTTGTTCAGTTATGCAATTACAATATTTTTTTGTGGTTAAATTAGATAGATCAACAAAATTGATGCAACAAGGAGAAAGGAATAACTCAACTCCAAATGAGAAGACTGTCTAGATAATTAATATGTACTGACTTTCATAGCCATAAATATACTTAGACTGCTCTTTTTTCTTGTGGGTAGAAAAACATCTTTAAGACCTCAAAGTTAAAAAAACTTTTTTATATATATTCTACATATCCTTAAATTAAAAGTCTTCTTTAATTTTTAAAATTTCATATCAAATTAAAATTTAACAAATCTATATCTATATTTTTTTTTACCATATCTATACTACCTTAAAAGAATGAACTACCTAACTTAAATGTTAAACTATTATAATACCCCGAACTTAAAACATCAAATTTAGTATATCTTCTATATTTTATATTGTATTGTCTTTATATTATATTATATTATATTAAAAGAAGACACATTTTTACATTGAAGGATTGTGACATTTTCTAAGAGTTATAAGTTTTTCGATGAGTTGTGACTTTTACGAAGGGTTGTGACTTTTCTACAGGGTTGCGACTTTTCCGAAGAATTGTTACTTTTCTGAAAAATTGTGACTTTTTCGAAAGGTTGTGATTTTTCCAAAGAGTTATGACTTTTCTGATAAGTTGTGACCTTTTTGAAAGGTTGTGGCTTTTCTAAAGGATAATGACTCTTTTTAATAAGGAACAATAATTTTTTTTTTATACACTACCCTTTGTTGGCTCTAAACAGAGGGATTTTCTAAAAATTTTAAACTACAATTTTTCAATTTTTCCATTGTTCTTCTTCTTAAAACACCCAATTTAGTATATCTTCTATATTTTATATTATATTTAATTATTTATATTATATTATATTAAAAGAAGACACCATATATTATATTATATGCACATTCTCATATTATATTATGTTAACTGTGACATCTTGCAAGTTGATAACTATGAAGAAGCTTAAAAATCGGAAATAGTCATTTTTGGAAGGAATTTAAAAATCTGGAAAATTTGGTTTAGTATGGGAAAAAGTGAGTTTTTGGCCAAATTTGAACAGTAATAACTTCTAGTTCAGGATGATTTAGGTGTAGTTCCAGTTATCTTTGCGAAGCTTGTAGAATGTTCTTTCCAACGCCACCGAGTGTGCTCGATTCCGAGTTCGTATGAGTGAGTTATGCCCTTTGGAAGTTGGGCAGTTGGCAGGGAATTCCGTCCGGAAATTTTAAGGGTATTTTGGTCTTTTCCCTAACCAATTCTTTTGGATATATTAAGGTGTTAGACTGATTTTAGATCAGTTTTCCTTTTAAAAGTGAGAGTTAGGGTTCTTGATAGAAAAGGAGAGAAGAGGAGAAAGGAGAAGAAGAAGCAAACTCCGTAAAGATCGTCGTGGTTTTCGTCGGGGTGATCCCTATTAAGGTATGTGAGATCATAATGTTAGGTTGGTCCTTTTCCCCACACGCCAAACTCGTTTTAATTCCGAGAAAAGATTGTTTGTGTTGTTGAAGTTGTGATTGTTGTTGAGGTCCCTTGTTGATTTGAGACATGTTTC